ATTTTCCATCCAATTTTATTCTCGGCAATCCTTTCCAGTTTTTTACAGTTCCTATTCATCCTTTCCATATCTGCTTCTATTTCTGGATGTAGTGTTTTTTGGTCTTCCTCTTCTCTGCTTCCCTTCAGGATTTTAACTTAAGGCTTGCCTCGTGATACAGTTTGGTGATATCCTCATTGTGTGTTCTATTCACTTTCAATGTCTTTTCCTAATTTCTTCTTCAATTGGAACCTCGTTTGTCCTCTCTCACAAAAGGCTGTTGCTGATGGTATCCGGCCAATGAATGTTGATTATCTTGCGTAGACAACTATTTATGAATACTTGTACCTTCTTGGCGGTAGTTGTATTATTTCTCCACGTTTCAGCTCCATATAGTAGAACTGTGTTGATGTTCATATTGAACATTGTGAATTTGATGTTGGCTTACAGACAATTGTTTTGAGTTGTATATGTTGTTCAACTGTAGGAATGTGACCCTTGCTTCTACAATCCTTGCCTTTACATATGCATCGGATCCTCCTTGTTCATCGATGATGCTGCTACTGTCCAGGTTCATGAGAGTTTCCACCTCTTCCAGAGTTTCTCAATCAAGCGTGGTTGTGTTGGTTGGTGTTCTGTGTGTTGTATTTGAGCATGTTGCTTTTTCCCTTGTGTATGTTGAAGCCTACTGATGCAGAGACTGTTGCTACACTAGTTGTCTTCATTTGTGTTTGTTGGTGTATATGAGATAGAAGAGCTATGTGATCTGTTAAGTGCAAATCGTCTAGTTGCATGCAAGCTGTCCATTGTATTGTGAGCTTCCTTTCAGATGTGGAGATATTCATAGTTCAGTCAACCACCAGAATGAAGAGATAGTGAGAGAGTAGACAGCCTTGCCTGACTGCGGTCCGTTTGCGTTTGTTCTTTAGTAGTTAATAAACTCAACTAATCAGTCGACCAAATAAAAATATTCTCTTTTACATTGTTTGTTTGTTTGTTAATTGTCAAGTTATTCTGTTTGATTTCACTGTATTTCCCATTTACGAAGTGATTTATATTTTATGCAAATGTAGTTTATTCTATTGAGATTCATTGACTAAACCATTTACAACAGGCACAAACACACACACACACACAAGCACACGCATATAAACACGTAAAACTACGGTGATACGGAAATGTACAACTATTCTTTGAGTTGTTCTGTTTGTTGTTAATTTTTTTTCACGCTTGCTTCATTGTCATAGTTATTTCACTTCATTGGGTTGGTTTTTGTTCATTTATGTCTAATATCTAGGCTATACATATAACTATTACATATGTATGTTGAACCATCGACATTATCGATAGCTCCAAACACACACACACACCGGTTACGTATATGAATGTGACTATGTTAACTGAGTTAAAATATTAAAAATATTCTGATTAATTTATCAATGAAAAGTGAAAGTCATGGTGACAGTATTAATTTACTCAACCTCATTCTCTTTCCGCTGTCCGCCGATTATAACCTCGATAAGCTAAGAGAGAAATTGTATGTACATATATATAGGTAATATTGATGGTTGTCTAACCCTTTTCTTATATCTATGCATGTGTATGCATTTGTTCTGAGATTACGTGATATTGTAAACTGTATTAATTGGAATATTTATGACAGTGTTATTATCCTGTTTCTTTTAGAGAGAGGACAAGTTTCACTGTGTAGACAGAATAAAATCATAAACTCATTAGTGAATAGCTTCTAGAGGTGATTCCCTGAGTTCTAGTGAGAAGCCATAACCAGTAGAGTTCAACTATACGTGGTTTGAACATTACATTTTCTCTATAAGGCCTGACTTACTTAATGCTTAATAAGATCGTAGATATGCACTGCTGAAGATTCACATACTGGGACGAAATAGGTATTATTTTAAATCTTCCTGGTTTTCAGTGATTATCCAGTTATAGTCAATTTTTGATGTAAAACTGTAAGATTATATTTCAATGAAGAAAACAAAAACTATAAAATGGATTGCAGTAGTGAACAATGCTAGATTTGAGCTTTTAGTTCACCGAAATCCTTGATAATCGTTTGATTACGCCAGAGGATTAAACTGTATTGTTCAGGTCGTAAATACCTAAATGATATCTGGTCCTCCTGAAAATCAATATAAAATTACCCTCTTACAAGGTTTATTGATAATTATATAGAGCGGATCAATAACTTCGTAGTTAAGGTGTTTCATTTTCATTCACTTAGCCTCAGGTTCGAACCCTGATTTACCTAATTTGATTTAGGCAACCGGGTAGTATCGTTTACCTTCACGCCTAAAGTGTGATTCATATTCAAGTACTTTGTAAATGAGTTAATTCTCTTCTTTTTCTTTTCTTCTCCTAAGGTTAGGGTCATTTGATAAGAGCCAGAAAATTATTGATTATTATTATTATTATTATTAATATTATTATTATTATTATTAGTGAATTTATTCAGTGTCATCTTTTTGGTACAATTCTCAAAGCGAAGTATTTCAACAATTTCCATTTCTTACTTCTTGATCAATCCTGATGATAAGTATTAAGTGATCACCAATCAATCGATATTTAAATAATATACATTCTTTTCAATGCATATTGCCAGTAATCACGATATCTCTGATCGAGCTCTTTCCTAACGTGTACAGTGAAAGATCGTGATCTTTTCATAGACGTACCTGATTAAGGTTCTACAATTAATTGACATAATAATCTGTTAAAACAACCAAGGAAGTAGATAACTTGTTGAAATAATTAGATGACAGGAATAGGTAGCTCAGATATTCAATCAGATCCGCCTATACCAATTAATATTTGACTGGGATATTAATACTCTGTAATTTAAAACTTATTCATGTAAGATGATGTAAACTATAAGGTGCTTGTTAGTAACATTAAGAATTGGATTTATTGTTTCATCAGATCATTTGTAAATCGTACACATTTCGTTTTAAACACAAAAGAAAACAACATCGAGAGTAATGAATTACGACATGAAACAGCATGATATATTTCATGTATGTATGTATGTATGTATGTATGTATGTATGTAGGTAGGTAGGTAGGTAGGTAAGTGTGTATGCATGAATGTAGTATCCACTTTGTTTAAAATAGATAGAAAAAACGAGTGAAAAATTATTGAAACCTATTTGAACGACAGTAGAAACCTAGTTAAACAACAACAACAATAGTTAAATGTTTAATATGTAGAGACATGTATCTATCTCAGAACAATGGAAGATGGTCATGCAATTTCGTGGATTGATTGACGTTAGACATTATAATACCGTTGGATGCCTCCCACTCAGTGGTCTATAGGTTAATCGTTCGCATGTGAAACCGAAGGTCCTGGGTCCGAATTCGACGTGCGGAATCGTGGATGCGTATTGCTGAGGAATACCATACTAGGACGAAATGACTGTTCAGTGTTTCCAAGTTTCTAACAGTGGTCTAACATCAATCGCTTCATGATCTCAACCAAAAACTCAATGAACGCTAAATTCACTGTATACAATGAAATCGTCTCAAGTCAATTTTCAGAGTTAATCAATACTAGTTAATTGTTAATTGAAAACTATAAAACATCACTGAAGTACAAAAAGCATTTTTAGCTATTTATTGAGCAATGAAACTTGAACATTCTAATGAAATTACCGAGTTTAAATCAAGCAGCAAATATTAGATATGCGCCTGGTAAGGAAAAATGGGTGAATGTAGTTGAAAACCGATCAATATAAATTTCATATTAGCCGCTATATTTTAACGAAGTCAATCTGTAATGTTTAGGGCAATGATGTTTCTTACAAAGCCTATACATCTTGTCAGTCTATCCAGTAACTCGATCAAGACTTTCCCATATACTAATTAAATCAAGTAATAAGGTCAATTCATGACGGTTTTAACCATTGAGAGAAGCTTATTTGTACTAATACAGATTTCTTTCTGGCCATCTGCAAAGATATAGCAACTTACAGTTTGTAGGCCGTAGATGGTAATATGTAGCGAAACTAGTTCTAATGGTATAGATTTATTCGTTTCACATTCTTCCAATTTTTAGTATTTTTATATTCACTGTTTTTATCGGCTTTTGCACGTCATAGGTTTCTCAACAGAATTAATACCTTTCAGTAGTCGAGATCATGAGTCAGTTGAAGCTAAACCATAATGAAGAACCTAGAAGGACCGAAAGGCCACTTCTTCCTGTCGTGGAACTCCTTAGCAGTGCGCATCCACGTTTCTGCCTCGCAGGATTCGAATCCAGGACCTATCGGTCTCGCGCGTGAGCGCTTAACCCACAGACCACTGAGAGGGCGACATCCAATTGTGTTAATGTCTAACGTTAACCGATTCGCGAAATTGCCTGACCATCTTCCATTGTACTGATGTAGATACCTGTCTCTACTTGACATGGATTAGTTCCACTAATGACGACTTCTCACTAGAGCTCTGAGAATTCCCTCACGAAGCTAGTCACTAATGAGCTCATGGTAATTATCAAGATGGGTTTTTGGAGATTATTAACTCATTTTGATTGAGATTATGAATCGATTGATGTTAGACCATCAATGCTTCAAAGTTTTCAATAATAGTCTAACATCAATCAGTTCATGATCTCAATCAAAAACTTAATAATCTTCACAACCCCTATACCAAAAAACATGATGAATTAAAAAATTTAATTGAAGCAGATAAGTCCATAGAGAGAGAAAAAAACGTGCACATGACTGAAGGTGTGTAATAAATACTGACTGATTGTAAACATTTATACAATGTACTTTTCATCGGTTACTATTTGAGTTCATCTTAAACAAATTGTACAGTTGTTACTGAGGATTCTTTACTTTAACAAAATCTATAGTATTAAACCTCTTTATGATGATGATGATTAGTTTCTACTTACATTTTGCACAAGTTGTTGCTATCTAGTACCTTATTGGTTGAATAGTATGTAATCTAATCATATTTCCTTTATATATATACATGTACATATTCTTATTTTATAGGCTACTTCAATCAAGAACATGATCGCAACAACAACAATAATAATAATACTAATAATGATAATGCAAATTCTTTTACATCTTTAGTATCTAATTGTAATGATTATTCATTGAAAGAAATTAATTCATCTATTAAATTTAATCAAACTATTCATAGTATCCCAGATACATTATCAATAATAAAAGTACAAAATACTGATCCATTATTGAATCATTCACCACGTCGTTCATCTTCTTTAATTAGATATCATCATCATCATCATCATCAGAATGATCATACAAGTTCGATTAAATTAAATCGTTCACATTTTCAACATTCCGATCATCATCCTCATCATCATCAACAGCGGCAACAACAACCACAACCACAACAACAGCCTTATATTTCAAATTATCCTATTGAACATTTAATTGATCATGATATATCATTGCCTTATATGCCGACTTTATTTAGTTCCGATAGTAAATCATCATCGTTAAGTAAAGAAAGTGGAGGAAAAAAGATTTTAGTAAGTGAAGATGAGTTTTTCTTTTTTAATTTTAATAATAAATCAGCTTTATAGTATGTTATATTTAGAAGCTTAGATTGTAGCGACCGAACAACCAATATTCGGTTGGAACAACGGACTGACGAACTCAAAATTTATTTGATTAGACCAGACCACGTTCCTTTGTATAGCTCACAACGCGTTTTTGAGATACTCGTATTATATTATATCAAAACAGAAACTCTATGCTCAATATAAACGGTTCTAATTTAGAAAACAGAACAAATTACATCAAAAATAAAAAATACCTCAAACGGTACAGCCTGTGCTATACAGTCAAAAGTTTCTCTAACGCAAAGTAGCGCGCTAAACAATAAAAGAAACAGTTAATACCAAAGGGTTCGATACCTGAGAATCAATACAAATATTCCCAACAACATGGGATCAAATATCTATATGCAGGGTTGACAGTCACACACTGAACCACGCCGTGACCTTGAGCTTAGTCAAACACGACCTTACTGTCAATAGTCCGGCAACATGCAATAGAAAATTAGGTAACAAAAGATAAGTCTTTAATCAAAATCACATAATAAAGGCTCAAACGAGGAAGACTGAAAGACAAAAGATGTGGTTAAACACGATCTGAACAAACGTTAAAATACATGACAGGGAAAAGAAACAGATAAATGACAGTACTGTCCAACAAAAAGGGATTTTCATCGTCCTCCTTCCGTTACATAGATTCTTAATATACCGCGTATGACTTAAACACTCGAACTCTAGAATCTTCTCAAAGTCTAAAGTGAGAAGACAGAAGAAAACTGGAGAAAATTCTAATTGAGCGAAAATCAAAATGTACAGAAAATCATGAGTATTTATAGATATAATTCAATCAATCTGCAAAGAGGCATGTTATGCTATTGATCACGTTGATATTCTAGGAAGTTCCAATGTGTATTCTGATTGCTTAGAACTCTAGAGCATCTGTAGGCTCCGTTGTAGTTCTCGGAAGCCATCTTAACATAGTCCATTTTAAAAAGTGCTAACATAATCTTTATAGTCAATACATAAATTGAAATATCATAAATACTTTACGTTAAGAACTTTAAAGGGATAAATCAGCCTTAATCGTCATCAGAATATTCATTATTTGAGGCAACACACTTTTATCACCTCTAATGCCTAAACTATTCCAGATACTTAACAGAAGTTAAACTGTCTATCTGACTTCTTGTGTTTCCTGTTTTGGTAGGATTATGTTTTCCTATGATTTTCCAAGATTCAGTTCATCGCTAATATTCCAGGTGGTGAATACATCAATGGAAACCTGCAGGATCTCAAGAACTTCGCATTTTTATCAACTATAGAGATCATTATTTATTTATTTATTTAAGGACATAAACATTGAAACAAGGAGGCACCAAATATATATGCGCCACACAAATCATTCGATTTATGTAAGGGCAGTAATACTGTCCAGCCGCTCAAACCGAAGCAGATGGTTTTCTTACGGGGTCACTCCTCGACACTTTGACTCAAAGGCGTAATCCACAAGGCAGTGAAGCAACGTTTAGAGATGCAGTCACATGGTAGCCGGTGACCAACTATAGGTTCATACATCATTTGTTCCCTTAGGATCCTAGAGCACCATTTGTTTGGAATCAGCGTATCCAACTCTCCTAGGTAGATCCTCAATATCCACCAACCCATTTAAGGCGTCGGAAGTTCGCTCTCTGTCGTCTGAATTTTGTAAATAACATCCTCATTACAAGAAGGCAGTAAGTGGGACTTCCCTGTTAGTGGCTGTATGCACATGGCCATGTAAGAGCATTTCAAGAAAGAGTTAATTGAGTCTGCCTATCCTCAGTCGTATCAGAGCATTTGGGAGCTAATAGAGGTCAGTAGTCTTCCTAGTCCTGCATCCTCTTTCGCGTTCTTGATGAATCCCACTAAAATATTTGGTTTACTTAGAAATGGCTGTTTTGTTCAGTGAGTTGCATCCGTGGACAGCTATCAATATTCTGAGAAATTCTTTTATGAGTTTTGACCAAAATCCCTACTAATTCAGTTTATTTATTTATTGGATATCTTGAAAATATAATTCTTTTAAAAATAGCTCCACGACCAAACCATCCAGCTCAGAGAACAAAACTCCATCAAAAATAGATCCTACCCATTGTCATAACTCTGCACTGATACCTATATATGTATAGGTTTTACAAGTGAAAATGAAATCCATGCCACACAGTCATGAGTGTTTTGAACAGCATTTTTAAAATATTTAACTCTATCATAGAGGTTTGGTCCCAGGTAACAAGGAACCCTGCTTGTTTTAAGCTTCGTATTAATTAACATTCATTAGTATAATGTGTATATGAAGTCTTAGGAGAGTTGATCTATCCTACGTGAGACGATTACGAAGGTAATAGTGAGTCAATGAGCATGATGTAACACAGAAACATTCACAGATTGATTAATTATAGAGTTTATCTGTTATGTCTACTTCTCATTAAAAATCTCGTAAACTGTTTAAACAAATATTTTAATTATATTGAATAAAATTATAAAATGGTGGAGAAGATTTGTAACTCAGGTAGATGATTTTGATGGAGTTTTGTTCTCTGAGCTGGATGGTTTAGTCGTGAAGCTCTCATCGTTCTTCTGAACGATATCATCAGGACAAACTTTAGGTATTTCAGGAACGTCTGCCTGAAGTTTGTGATGATGATGTTGTTCAGAAGAACGATGAAAGCTCCACGACCAACCCATCCAGCTCAGAGAACACAACCCTTTCAAAATTGAATAAAATTGTGAAAAATGTGAAAATTTGTTAGTCTGGATAATAATGAAAAATGGAATAATGAGTCAAACTCACTTTGTATTGTTTGTTTGAATCTTCTCATTGATGTTTAACAATGAAATTGTTCAGTCTCTTATTAGCATATGTGCATACTGTGTGAATTGCCTCGATCCATCTTTGCTTAGAATGCTTGTGAATTAAGACAATATCGAGGCAGTCCGCACAGGATACAAATATGCCAATAAGAAACTGATCAATTACAGTCCTAAACATCAACGGGAAGGATACAAGTAAACAATAACAAGTGAATATAACTTCACACACCCTTCAGGACTCAGTAACTAAGTGAATAACGCGATGGCGTTTGAGACGAACGGGACTGGGTTCGAGTCTCACAGTGAACATCAATTGTGAGATGCAAGCACATCCATTTGACGAGTCCCAAATAGGATGAAACGAGCATCGTGGATATCACTACTAGCCACGATTCATCTTTGTTTATAATGTGTCGAACTGTTATTAACACAGTAATTACACAAGAAACGAAGTGTAATATCACTTACATCTTACACATTACTCTAAAATCTTGATAGTGAAGAAAAGTCGTATTCTCATTCGTCTTACAGACGTATAGTTCAAACTTATTTATGAGAATTCTCAAGGTATCTAAGGCACGTGATAGACAAAGTCTCAAATCAATAAAGTTGAATAAGATTCAAGAAATATCTTTGATCACTGAACAAATTAACTGATTGTTCCAGGGCAAATTGATCTCATTGTATCACATCATTTTTTTATTCGACTGTGAATATCCTTGTCCAAAAATATTATCATTTTATATCTTTTCAGTAGGTTTAATGTAACTTGCTTCATATAAGTAACGCTTGTTAAAAAATATCCACTATTATCAATAAGCAACTAGTCAAATAGAAATATATTTTAATGGTTGAATTCATGAGTCAATTGAAGCTAGACCACCATTGAAAACCTAAACCTAGAAGCAGTGGATAGTCAAATCGTCCTACTGTGGGACTTTTCAACAGTGTGTATCCACGATCCCGCCCTGTGAGATTCGAACTCATGACCTATCGGTCTCGCTCGTGAACACTAAACCTCTAGATCACTGAGCCGATCGGCATCCGACGGTGTTAATGCATATAGTTATGTATATTTCTTTACTCGTTCATTTATATTTTCAAAAATAGCAACAACAACAAAAAATATTTCCCCATAGAAATTATTAAATTATTTCATAAATTAACTAACCAGCATTTTATTTCCTTTATGGGTGTGTTTTACTTTAGAAACACATACATGATTTATGATATTTCTTTTATTGATTACTTGGGTAAATATTGATTTTTGTTGTTGTTGTTGTTGTTGTTGTTGTTGTTGTTGTTGTTGTTGTTGGGAATTTCAATGAATCCATTATATGATAGTAGAAAAAAAAACAAATAAATAAGGGTATGGAATTGATAGACAAGAACCTCTATCCGTATTTGTATGTTATTACTTATCCTAAATAATAGAATATATGAAACATGAAGTTCATTGACACTATTTGAAATGGAGATGATTTTCATCTGTATTATTCAATCGACCAGTTGAAACACTGAAGTCAGATATTAAAGTAAATACAAACATGCTTTACCTTCTATTCAAAAAGATTTGAGAGGAGGAACAAATACTGATGGACTGGAAAGAAGGACACCTCATCAAGATTCCAAAGAAAGGAGATCTGAGGAAATGTGAAAACTAGAGACGCATCACACTACTGTCAATACCAGGGAAAGTCTTGAATAGAGTGTTGCTGAACTGTATAAAAGATGCACTAGACTCCCGACTTCAAGATCAACAGGCTGGATTCCGTAAGGATCGGTCGTGCACAGACCAAATTGAGACACTACGCATCATCGTCGAACAATTAGTTGAGTGGAACTCGTCATTATGCATCAATTTCATTGACTATGAGAAAGTATTTGACAATGTGGATAGGAGAATCTTATGGAACCTTCTTGCAGAGCATGGAGTGAGTAGCTGAGAAAATTGTCAACATCATGCAGAAGTCATATAACAGATTAAACTGCATATTGGTGCATGGAGGACAGGGTTAGCTGGAGAGTGCTGGTAGGCAACTTATCCTCCTCCACACGGAGTAACAGTCATAAGTAAGAAAGTATTGAATCGACATCACTAATCCTTTTCATTATGGGATGGT